CCCCAAAACCCCAAAACCCCAAAACCCCATCAGAAAGTATTTCAAGGAATCTACAGAAATAATAATTTTAATCAAGAGAATATCATAAATATGTTCTAAGCTTATCTTAAAAGTTCTCAGGTCTTACGCTACAATAGACTAATTCAGTCCTAGTCTATTCGTAGATTCACAAAAGATTAATCTACTGATAGCAAAACAAAAAATTATGGAAATAACTCTCCTGCTGAATAAGAATCATTACATCAGAAAGAAGTAATGGATAATGAAATCAATGCTATGAATAATGTTTTGACTAAGGAATCAAATTTAGATTATAAAGTAAAGGATAGCATGAAATCTAAGAAGGAATATGTGATGGAGGAAAAGGCAAATATGGATAAAGTATTCTAAAATACTGATACACCAAAGAAATTAAGTGAAGTAGAATAGTACTACTAGATAGTAATCCCGCATGATAGACCCCTCAATGACAACTTACATCACTAGGCGATAGGCAACTATCGAAGGATGAAAAGAGAATCTGATGGAGGGGTAGATGAATATAATAAAGCTTTTGGATCTCCACTAAGCAGAGCCGAACATGATTTTCACAATGTGTCTAAGAATTGGGATTATGATGTTGAAATGAGAGGAAAGAGATGAAAGAATTTAATGGAAAACAATAAATGAAATGATCTGCTTTTACATGTACATATAGTTTGAATCTCTAATTATTATATTATTTGTATTTAATTGGTGTTTCAAAGGATATTATATAAACTAAAGTTATTATTATAATAATAAATAAGGAAAGATATTCTATACAATAACACTCTCTTACTTAAGACATCAACTTTATCATTCTTAATAGAATACCTATTAACCTTACAACTAATACACAACTAATATGCTATTGAAACAAATGACATCCATGAAAGCTCTATACAAAGAGCCATTAAGAGAATCTTTACTTAATATGCCTAATGAAGTATGAATAAAACTAATAATATTTTTTAGAAGCGAAAATTTGCAAGGTTTTTGATGAAAATTCAAGCATCTAACAACCCTTAGTCCAATGATAATTTCAAAAAAGAATATGAAGATTAATTATTGTTTGGTTAACTAGATATTCACGACTATGATATGCAAAAAATCAATATGTCAGCTTATTAAGGATATGATTAGCATTTCAAAAAACCAGAAACAAAAGCTACTCACCCAGAATTAGACATAAACCAAAACACTTGTTTTGGAAAATAGGAAAACTTCTAACGTAATTCTGGTGATAATCCTGAATCTAACCCAAAAGATATTGGAATCAAAATTTGATTAGGAAGTTATTTAAACAGCAACCACTGTTGACTAGTGGTGAAATTATATAGACTAGAGGGAATTACTTCTAGTTTAGTTTTATCAATGTACCAGTTATAAGGAAATTTCCTTCACTATAACAATAAGATTTAAGATATAGTACTAGACATCTCCTGCTGCACATTCAACTTAATGGAGAGGGACAGGATTATTTCATTATATTGGTATAAATGTTATCAAATTACTAAATAAACAAGCTTGAGCATATTACTTCAGACTATGTTAATTATTCTTAATTTCAAATAACTTTAAATTTTACTCTAATGGGGTTTTGGGGTTTTGGGGTTTTGGGG